CACTGATCCCAAGGTATTTGCAAAAAAGTTATCAGAAAGCCACGTGTAATTTTCAAGCATTGTTCAGATACAAATGGCTGCTACATTTTTTCCATGCAGGTGACTCTTAATGGTTTTCAGGTAGAGAGAGAGAAGCAGTGACTTGCTCTGCCATCCCAAACAGGGCAGTCTTTGAAACCATAAGGACAGTATGTGTTGTATTCAGTATCTAGGCACACAGCTAAAGAAACTTTTAAATGAATGAATAAACATTCAAATACAGTGCACTTGAGTAATGTAGGGGTTCTATCCACTGGGGGAAGCCCTGCCCAGAGCAGAGTCTGAGATTGCTTTTCCTGGTAAGGAGCCTGTCAGAACAGCACCTGCTTTGGCAGAGTTGTCTCAGGCTGACATCCATTCTGAAATCTGCATTTTGTTTTGGCAATACACTTCTGTAAACTCAAATGGCATTCCAAAGTTAATGTTTATTAACTATAGATTGTATTTTTCCCTTCTATTCTAGAACTTGTCCTTCTTTCTGAATCCACCTTGTGCAAAGTGGTCTAAGCTCTCTGAAGTGCTGAGCTGGCAGTTTTCTTCTGTAACAAAGAGAGGACTTAACGCAGATCAGCTGAGCATGCTGGGAGAGAAGCTACTTGGTATGGTCTGCTTCCATCACAGGTGGCCTCTTTGAATGGAAGCTAGTTCTACATCTTTTCTGCCATCTATTTTAAGTTTGCATTCCCTTTCACACCTTTCACCCCAAAAAAATATTCCTGTTTTCAGTATGGTAGAGTTTGTAAATGAAGGTCAGGCCATGGAAGGAAGTCTGCAGTTCTAACTGCATGGCATATCTGTTTTGTTTTTAAATCCATCTCCATTAGTTTCAACTTCATACATGCCCTCAACTACAGAGGGGGTTTACTCTATCAGCATAAACACAGTTGCACTATCAAAGTGGAAACACTGTGAAACTAGTAAAGGATATAAAACTGAACATCTCCCAGATGGGAGTCCCTAGGAAAAGTCTAACATTGTTTCCAAACCCCTTGTCAGTTTTTCTGGTAGGAAAGTCACCTGACATTGCTACTGAGCTTGCAGAGCAGACTCTTGATAAAAATACTGTTGATTCAGTAGATTTAACTAGCCTTAAGTTTCAGGAAGAATTTTTATTTAAAGGGATTTGACATTAGTAGCTCTAGGTGGCAAATGCATCACTACAGTCCCCAATTCCCTTCCTCTAATTTCCCCAAGACATAAGGTCTGACAAAAAAAAAAAAAACCTTAATGATATAATAAATTGCTTCTCAGAATTCTGCAAGATGAGTAATTTTTTTTTATTTAATTAACCATCATGAAGACAAAATGACCACTGACATATTTCTATGGTAAATTTCCATTTCAGAGATTTTGTCAAGCTCTGCTAAGAACAGTAGGGATGCTATTTAAAGCTTAAGTCTACAGCTAGAAATATTTCACTACTGAAAAAATCCAAGTAGTTGAACACTATATATACACAAGTTTCCTTGGCACAAGGGGGCACAGAATCTTAACAGTGCCAAGGTACAAGTCTCCTGCTGGTTTTGTGAAAGCTGACAGAATCTTGGTCTGTAGCAGCATCAGAAACAAGCTTCCTAACCCAATTTATTTTTAGAGAGGTAAGAAAAAAGAAACATATTTCTGACTTCATTGAAATCCATGGAATGATCTGTAATGGAGAGGATCTGGCTCTGAATACAGTCAGGGTCTGCAAAGCTCTAGCAGCTGTAGTCATAGGATAGAATTTTTTCTTTGTGGTTTGGGTACAGTTGTGAAACATTGTTGACTTAGAAACAAGACAGGGCAGTGGGAAATGATTGCAACAGGAATGAGATGAGTCTGTGGTTGAGGCAGACCTAGGAGTCAGGAGTTTCTAGGGCAAAAGCCTACAAGTCATCACAACTGAGACAGGAGTGTTTCATCTCAGAAAGCTATTGTAGGGTCTGCTGAACTCCTACAAAAAAATCTTGTGGGTTGAAGTTTCCTTGTTTTATTAGAGAGATGATGTGCAAGATAAGTGTCAGAATGAATTGTTCCCATTACACAGGGTCTGTTTAAATCCTTTTTTTTTTTTTTTTTTTTAAAGTCCTTTAAATCCTTCAAATGAACTTTCCCAGGGGAGAACTTTGCAACACTCAGAACTCAGGTCTATAAGTACTTTCCTTTAAACCTTATCAAGTAGCTTACAGGACTGAAGTAAATTTATTCTATTCAGGGCCAACAAGTGGAGGATCTCATGATGGCCTAATTCCTTGGACAAGATTCTGCAAGGTATGAACACAGTTTAAAAATTGAGAGCTTTGTTTTGGGGTTTATTTAAGGTTTTTTTTTTTTTTTTGGGTGTGCTTTCTTTTTTGGTAGCATACCTTAATTATTCTAGAGCTTACATGATTGTAGGAGGTTTTGGTGGTGAGGTTAAAGCAGCAGCAGCAAAAATAGCTTACATAGGAAGGAGTTTACCAGTAGGACTCTTCACATTTTGTTTGGCTTGAGACCCTAAACTGGTATAAATAAACAGGAGAGGAAAGCAGACAGGAGGGGACTCTGGGAGAAGAACAAAGCTCTGGTGACCTCCAAGCACTCAAGTTCATTAAAACATGTGTCCCACAAGAAACTGAAATCTGGGTGTGAACAGAAGGCATCTGTAAGCTGTTCTGCTAGCCAGCCTGGTTGAGAGCCCCCATGTGTGTGGGTACTGTAGGCTCAGGCAGGCATCTCTCTGCACTGCCTCTTGCCTTAAGATTCAGTATGTGCCTTATTCCCAATAGTTTGTGTCTTTCTGGAGTAGAGAAACAGAAACAGGGGGGGAAAAAAAAAAAAAAAAAAAATCAGAGAATATGAAGAGGGTGGGGTAAAAAAAAAACAAACACTTGTTTCCTTTATGCTCAACTAAACTCATGTTTCACTAACTCTGTTCTCCCTCACCCCTCCTCTGCCTTTCCATATTCTAAATTTCAGGAAAATATAAACGATAAAAATTTCCCCTTTTGGCTGTGGATTGAGGGAATCCTGGAGCTCATTAAGAAACACCTCCTATGTCTCTGGAACGATGGGTAAGACATCAACAACGACAGTCATTGCCTCACACCTCTTTTTGGCTAGCAACTGCACCCTCAAGGTTGTGAGGGTGTTTGTGCAGATACTTTGGATCCAATCAAGTGGAACTTGCAGCGAGAAAAATCAGAGGAAAATGAATTCTAGTAGTGAGGAAGCCTGTAGTGAGGCATCTGCTTAAAGCAAAGCCATCAGATGACCAAGCCTGTCCCATTTAAGTCACAGAGCAGGGCTTTGAAGGTTAGCTGTTTTTTTCCCTCTGCTGCCCCTGTAAATAGGTTCTTAGAATAAAGCCTCTTTTGTGTTTGACAGGGAAGATCAAAGTACAACAAAGTATAAGTTATAAAATGATCATCCATCTTAAGAAAACCAAACGCCAAGCTTTATTGTGAGCCACCTATAGGTGGCAGCCAGACTCTGAACTTCTGTACCTGCACTGTGAGTCCAAAAAGTGGCCTCTACTGTTTTTAATAGAGTGTTATTAAGCAGTAAGACTCTGCCCAATGAAACCAGGTCCCTTTTCCCTTTAATACTGGTTGAGTAAGCTTTTGATTCTGGTATGGCCGATCTCAGAAGTAATTGCTGCCAGAAACAGGTTTGGCCAAGGTCCCAGCCCTGCATTTTAGGTTTAGCCACACTGAAGCCCTGTCAGTAGTGCACTCACAGCAGAGCATCCTAGTGTCCCACAAGTCTACAGCAGGAGGATTGCTCTGTCTTAGCAAGATTCAGCATTCAGCAGCAGGCTTCAAATTGTTACCCCCGAGCTCCAGGTGAGTTGTGTCAAAGCTCTTTATAATGCAAGCTTTGTTTCACTGCCTGAAACCTGGATATTTCTTAGCCAGGTGGACTCCAGTGCAGTGGGAATGTTTGCCACCATTTGAAGCAGAGCTGGAGTTCTGTCCTGCTTGGTGTTCCTCCTCAGTGTGGCTTTGTGCCTACAGGACTGGTTCTGCACACAGCTCTGACAGTATCCAGTCTCAAGTAGCATTACTCATGGCTCAGTTATTAGAGCAATCCCCTGTTTAGGGCTTAACAGAGAGAGGTGCAAGTTAAATCCTGGATGTAGTCAAAGCCAGAGATTTAGTACTATTAGTTTTTCTCCCTTCTCAGCAGGCTATGTTAGATAGTCACAGATCTTTGTTTCCTAGAAAGTGAAACTGAAGGGAAAACTTGCCAACTACAAAGATACTATAAATTTCTCTCTTTCCCACCTAAGTATTCCTTAGGATAGAGACTCCCCTTGTATAGGAAAGCAGTAGTATTACAGCCTCAACAAGGGTTGCCTTTCTTCATCCTTGAGGGATGGAAAGGCAGAAGACTTTCAGTGTACACAGGATATTTACTACCAAACATATTTGTTACCTAAAGACATACTTGGTACCATTAAAAAAAAAAAAAATCAAAAATACCAAATAAACTCAAAATAAACCCCCCATAAAACAGGACAGCTTACAGCATCTACAGTTCCAAGCAAAATCATTATTTGGTAGTTTTGGTGCAAAAAGCACTTTCCCTAACTTAATGCACAGCAGGACAGTAGTAGTTGTAGCCAAAACTCCATTACTGATGGACTACTTTGAGGAATAAGAAGCAATGCAAAGAAATTCTGACTTTTTTTTTAAAAAGCATTTGGGGTTTGACCAGGGCTGTTTGTACAACTCCCTCCCCCAGTACCTGTTCAGACCAATCCATTTCCAAAGAGTAACCACATTGGCCTCCTTGCCTACACAGTGACATTTCCTGAGCACAGTGAATTTGGGGAAGGTGAAATCACACAAGCTAAACAACTCCTCTAGAAAATGCACACAAGGAGTAAACCAAAGCCCACACCTGCATGGATGCAAGCTGGTAGCTAGCAAGCTTTGTTTCATCAGCCAAAGCTGATGAAATACACTTCACAGACTTGTGAAGTTAAAACAGCTGGTTAGGCTCTGGCCATGTGACACATATTTAACTTTGCTTCTCCTCCCACCACCCAGCTTTGACACCAAAGGACACTCTCTTACTCTGAGCCCAGAAAAATGCTTGTATAAGCCACCAGGCCAAAAGAAAAGTGAGGAAGGCTGTGGTGATTCATGGCTTCCACAGGGCAGCTCCAGCTGTTCACAGGCCAAAGCATTCTGTGAGCCTTTTACAAGTGCTTCAGCTCTTTTAACTGACAAAAACTTCATTTTCCCAGCTAGCCCAGCATAGCTTCAATTTTGTGTTGAGGAGTAAACTCAGCTTTTTCTTCTCAACATTGCAGCTGCATCATGGGTTTCATCAGTAAAGAAAGAGAACGTGCCTTACTGAAGGACCAGAGCCCAGGAACATTTTTACTAAGATTCAGTGAAAGCAGCAGAGAGGGAGCAATCACGTTTACTTGGGTAGAAGGATCTCAAAATGGTAAGTCAGGAACAGAGAACATACTCATCTTCAGAACATAAGCCTGGGTCAGAACAAGAAGTCTTTATGCTCTCCTCTTCCACACTGAGCAGCAGCACAATGCACCACTCCAGCAGTCCCCACCCTTCCAAGCAGTAGCAGGCACAAGCCTTACTTGGTACTGGTCTTAACTGAAACCTTTGACACTTGCCAGGTACTGCTTCTGGCCTGGAAGTTAACCATTGAGGACCAACTGCTTAGGCTGTCTCCTCTGCCTCCTGTGGTTCTCTCTTAGCAACAGACACAGCTGCATCCCCCTCCAAACCCATGGCACCTTCCCCAGAGAGGTTTCTCTCCCAGGAAGAGTTCATTGCAGGCACACTCAGCCCTCTGTACTGCTGCTCTCTCCCACCCCTTCACCTGGTGCACAGCAGTCCTTTCTCAAACAGCTTTACCTCATGGCTCAGCACATCTCTTCCTTCCTTCCCACCTTCTCCCCAGGTAAACACCACAGTCACTCACCTCATTTCCTAAGCAGTTCTTCCACGTCCCAAAGGAGGACTGATGAACAGCTTGCTGCTTCAGTTAGCTGGGCTACTCCTCCAAGCAGCCTAGAGCCTGGAAAAGCTGTAAAAAAGCTCCTCTCTATCCAATTGGGGTTCTTCCCTTATCACAGTTCTTAACCCCACCTGCCAGGACAGTGCAGCTGCTGACGCTTCACTTGGATGAGCCCAAGACCTACAACAGCTGGTAGAGGAGCTGCTGAATGTGCTTGGATGGCTTCTTTCCCTTTACTGCCTTCATACCCGAGGCACCCAAAACTTGAGCAAAGAAGGGTGATAGCACTTGGAGCATCCAGGGTGTCTGTTTTTCTGATACATAAGAGCTCCAAGTGGTGCATGAGGGTCAAACTTCATAGCAGGCAGAGGAGCTTGAGTGACATCATTTGGAAGAAGGTTGAAAAGGTAGCACAACTTAAATTAGCTGATGAAATGCTGCAGTTAATGCCACAGACAGGTCACCCCAGTCATTCTGAACACAAAATGCAGCAAGAGCCATCACTATATGGTATCTCCCTCTGTCTTCCTGCCCCCCAAAACTATTGTGCTCCCTTTGACAGCCACTAAAGACCTACCTGCAGCAGCAGTCGGTGACATCCAGGTGAGCCTTCTGCTCACATCACCTCTGAATTTGTGGAGGTGGCTGCAGCTTTTCTGGACAGCTCGAGGGAAAAAAAAAACCTTTGAAACCCCCTTTAAGAGTTGCTGCTTCTGTGCCCTGCAGAGCCCCAGTTCCACTCGGTGGAGCCGTACACCAAGAAGGAGCTCTCTGCTGTCACCTTCCCCGATATCATTCGCAACTACAAAGTGATGGCAGCTGAGAACATTCCTGAAAACCCCCTGAGGTTTCTGTACCCAGCTATACCCAAAGACAATGCCTTTGGCAAATACTACTCCAGGCCCAAGGAGGGTGAGTGCTGTAAATGGCTCATACGGTCTAAGTGTGATGATTGTTCCTGAGATTTTGGGCAGCAGTTGGGCTGGATGTCTTGGCAGCCTGTCCCACCCTGGAGTGCTGCCCAGCTGACAGGTGAGAACAGGCACTGTCCTGTGTTGAGCTGCAACTATTTCTGTTCAGCGATTTTACTTTTCAGCTAAGTCTCTTCTAGCTTTAGTAGGTTAAGAAAAGGTGTATTTTTAAAGAGGCACAACACAAGATCCAGTCAGATCAAAAACTGAAAACGTAAGTAAGTGTCACTGGCCCTCTAATTCCACTTCCATGTGAGCCTGTGAGATACTTCAGAGGTGTAAGTAAGTTCCCGCTAACAGCTGGAACCACGACTCATATTTGGCTGATCCTGGCTGTGTGGGCCTGGCAGGATGTGTTCAGACACCTACATCAAACTCTAGAGGAGGTTTTGTTCCTCACTCTCTATGCAGGAAAAGAAAAAAGGAATAAATTAACCATAGTGCTGTAAAATGCATGAGAGAGACTCACATTATCTGGGTCACGGGCTTTATTTTTGGAACAATAAAGATAGCAATGTGAAGTAAACTTGCTAAAAAAAAAGAAAATCAAGCTTTTTTTTTTTTCCTCCTTGAAGCACCAGAGCCTATGGATTTGGATGGTCCCAAGGGAAACGGCTACATCAAGACTGAATTAATCTCTGTGTCTGAAGTGTAAGTTTCCACCAAAATGCTGGATTTCAAGGAACTGATCACAAGCTTTGGCTGTAGTTATGCTCTTCACAGTATTTAAGGTGTAGGTGCCCCTGTCCAGTCTTTCTTGTCTTTCTCTTGGAGGGTCTGATCACAGCACACCTCCTTCACGCAGTGCTTTGAAACACTGTTTTTAGGTGCAGACCCTAGAAGCTTGCGGGTGGTTGTACTGGGAAATAAGTTCTTGAAAAGCAAGTGCTCAAAGGCTTGTTGGACTTGTTGGATCAGAAAGTTGAGTAGTCCCAGGTTTCACATGAAGCTGTGCTGGCTTTGCAGAGTGTGGTGTATGGCTCACAGGCTGGGTCCTCTTCACAACAGACCTCATTAGTGGCCCTTCTGGACTTGGGGCCAGACATGGCAGCCCAGCTGTGACTCACTTCTTCACTGAAGGCTTTTCTCCCTTGTATTAGCCACCCTTCTAGGCTCCAGTCTCCAGAAAATCTGCTCCCCATGTCTCCTGAAGAGTTCGACGAGGTGTCTCGGATGGTGGGCTCAGCAGAGATTGATACTGTGGTACGTACCATAAACCAGCCTGTAGCAGGAAGGTTGAGCCAGAACTTGCTTTTTTTTCTTGTTTTTTTCCCTTTAAACACATCGGACACTTGACAGCAGCTAACACTTCAGAACACAACTCTTCAGATGGGTAGGAAAAGCTGGGAATCCAGAGTTAGACTGGGATTGCTGTCAGGTTTGGTTTCCACTGTTTGTGAGGATAGAGGTGAAGAACAGGAGAGCAAAGCCACCTGTGTGTAGCTGGCAGGGGAGGGGAAGCAGGAAGGGAAGGGAAGAAGCAAGGAAGCAAGCTGCAGTCCTTCCCGGGGAGTCTGGGTGGGCAGGAAGGCCAGAGCAGGAAAAAACAGAAGAAAAATTCCACATTAAAATTAAATTCTCCCCCCGGGGTAGTTTGATCCCGAGCTGGTTGTGCTCTGTGGTTAGCAAAGCCTAGGGCACGAGGGCTTCACCTGGCTTCTCTGACTGACGTTTGCTTTCCTTGTTGCAGATGTGTTCAGCATATTCCACTTAGAGGCTGGGCTTCGTACGGCACCATTAACGCAGCTCATCAGCTTACGCACCCCGCGCTGCAGCCACTGCCTTGGTGACACACTTCAGCTCTGGCTTCCCAGCCTGAAGGTCCAGTAGCAGTTTTTAAGAAATGGGAATATAAACAGCAGTCCTCACACGCACCGGGTTTTGTTGGGAAGCTCTTTGTTTAAAGAATTTCCAGTTAGCAAGACACCGTGCCAGAGTGGGAGAAGAGAGGGGGACAGGAGTGAGAGGTCCTCAGCAAGAGTGCTGGGAGAAATGGGCATTTTTTTTGCTTCAGGAAATTAGTTAAATTGAATGTTTAAAACAGTTGGCTGTACATAGAAGGCTTCACAGGAAAACTAGTTCTTTTGCAGAGGTTCTGTTCAAAAAGCTTGCACCTTCTGTGTAACTGTTTCTGAAGAGCTGTCAGAGCTTAGAACTTTAATCTGCATCCCAGAAAGGAGAGAGGAGAAGGGCATGGCCTACTGAGTGAACATTTCCTTCTCACCTGTTCCCTAAGGCAAGGTCTTCTTGTGTAGGAAGCTTAGCACAATCTTTCTCATTCAGAGCACTTCTTAGGACAGCACCTTAAAGCTGCACTGGCACATGCTGAGCTTGCACAACCCAGGCTATGCACAACCCAGGCTCCAGCTTCCCCAGGCTCCACTCCCCCTGTCTGACAGCAGCAGTGGACAGCACACGAACCTTAAGCGTGCAGAAGGGGTTGGAGTATGTTTTTACTCACTGTGTTTAACCTGACACAGTGAGGATATGGCCCCTCCTGTCTTTTACGATAATACATGCCCCTTTTAGGTTATAAGAGAGAGAAAGGAACTTAATTTTCCCCTGCACTATGAACCAGGGCATTTATTTAACTGTTGCTTTGAATAGCTAGAAGACAATGCTAATTAAGTGGTTCTGCAGTTCAGGATAATGCACAGGAAAGGTGAAGATGTTAATTTTATACCAACAGCTGCAGGAGATGCAGTCTGTGCTACTTAAAGGGGGTTGGACCAGCTGACCTCTGTGGGTCCCTCCAGCCTCAGCCTGTTGTGGCAGTGGCTAAAG